CCCGGCGCGCCGCTGCCTCCGCGCTAGGCCTTCTTGCACTTGCCCTTCTTCTCGCGCTGCTGGAACTTGCGCAGCCGCCGCGCCCACGTGTCCCGCCATTGGATCACCAGGCTGCTCTTGTCCGCCACGATGCCGCTCTGGTCGGGCGAGTCCTCCGCGTTGCCCAGGAGCAGGTACTTCTTGAGGGGCTTGATTTTGGGACACTTGCAGGCGATGTCCCGCGAGCGGATCCACAGGCTCTGGTCACCGCGGCGGATGCGGCTCGTGCCCTGCTTGTACACGGAGATGATGTTCACCGTGAACTTCCACCAGTCCCCCGCTTTATCCGCCTTCAGGATGTGGATCTGGACCGCTGCAAGGAAGCACAGTCGGGCTAGTGCGCCACGGGCCGAGAGCGCCACCTGGGCCCCCCCATTCCACCCCCTGGTTCCTGTGGCCCCGCCCCCCCCCCCCCCGCCCTCCTCGAGCCGAGGATGGGGCAGCCCACCTGACGGCGAAGGAAGACGAGACCCACAGTTGGAAAGTGCACAGGGTACCCCACTGGGGGACGCGTGGGTGGTGCGGGAGGCTGTGGAAACCCACCTGCTGACGCCTGGACCGGGGCCGCTACTCCAACGAGCCTCACCCGGTGCCCAGCTTGAAGCTGCCACCCAGCAATGCCTTTGAGCACAAGCCCCCTCTGGGTCCAGGAAGGCCAGGAGAAGCTTACAGGAACTGACCGCCCGTCCTCCCAGCCCTCTGGGCAGAGTCAGCCTGCCCAGGACAGGTGTCCTCTGTGAGAGCAGTGGGGGCCACTCCTCACAGGCTGGGCGGGATCCCCTCTCAACCTTCCGCCATGGCTCTTCCAAAGGCTCCAGTCATTTAACATCGAGCCTCAGGACCAGACGCACCACCTTGCCCTTGACCCAATCTCAGAAAACCATAATGGGATCTCGGTGCCAGTGCCGAGTACCGTGAACCTGTCCTTCCAGGTGGCCGTAGTCCCCTTCCAGAGTCCAGGGTCCTCTGGATGCCCACCTCCCATGCCCGCCAAGCTGCCTCCCCCCTCCTGACCCTTCCCAATTATCCCCCGCTCCTGATTCTCTGCCAGTATTTCTTCCTCTCGTACAGGGGTGCCCCACCAGAGCCTGCAGCAGAATCCCCTGGAGGGCCTGTCAAACACACAGTGCCTCACCCCAGAGTGTCTGATTCCATGGAACTGTTCCAGCCCCCCCAGAGCCTGCCTCTCTCACAAAATGCCAGCTGGTGCTGACACTGCTGCTGCAGGAAATACACTTGACCCTAGGAAGTGTTAATAAAGGTCATTTCTGCGTGACATTAGGTATTATAAAAGTAGGAAGAAATGGCTTTGTAAAGAAAAAGTGGGCAGGGGAGAGCTGGGCTCAAACACGTTGGTGAAATTCTGGGTTAACCAAAGTCAAGAGGTTTCCTGACTGCAGGACTTTTCAGAGCCTTCAATCTACAAAGTGTGTATGTGTGTGTGTGTGTGTGTACGCATGTATGTTGGTTTCCCAAACAAAGGTGATGGCAGACCTCTCTGGCTAGCACATCTCAGGTTAGCAGAGCCCTGTGGGGTCCATCTGGGGAACTACTGGGGGGACGTACAGTCATTCCAGGGGATAAAGGGAGGGGGTCTTTGTGCACTAACCCATCAAGGAAAACCTGGTCATCTTCCCCATCCCCATGGTCAGAACAGAGGACATCCCCCTTGCGGAGCCCACTGGCCACCCCTGCACCCTTCACCTTTGGACCAGGCTGAAAACTGCCCTGGCAGGTGAGTGGGCCTGAGCCGTTCTGGAAAAGCAGCAGCAGATGACAGCTGAGGAAACCGAGTCACCGGCAGGCTCAGCCTCTCCGGCAGCCACGAGGACATGTCCCCAGGGAATACCGATCGGCCACCCCCTGCCCACCTACGGCTCGGCCGGGCGTCCCGTGCTGGCCAGCCTCTCTCCGGGTCTGCCACCGTCACCACCCCCGGGGGCCCCGTGCCCCCCTTCCATCCCCGCGCTCAGCCCAGGACGACGGGCAGGTTCAGGGACAGCTGGGCTCAGGGGAGCAGCGAACACCACCCCACTCATCTTCTGGGGCGAGGGAAGTGGCAGATTTTCCCAGATTTTCATTTCAGCTGTTCCTGGACATCCTGAACTTTGCACTCCAGTGTGAGGGCTCCAAAGAATGGCTGCCATGGCAACCGTTTCCATGTTTTCGTCACCAAGGGACTCAACACTCAGTGTGAACTCCGAGGTGGGGTGGGGAGCCCTCCAGCCTGCAGAAGTGGCTGGGCCGTGTGTTTGACTGTGCAGACGGGGGTCACCGTGGCAACTGAGTGCCCCTCGGCTAGGCGACGGGGGAGCCAGCGTCCCTGAGAACCCCGGTTTCCTCTCCGTAGGACTGAGCTGAATACACAATAAGCCTCCCTCAGGATGCCACTGTTTCCCTGTGTGCGACCGCAGACCCCTGGCCCGTCCACGCTGGCCCCCGCCACCACCCCCCGCCAGCCGGGGGACCCTGGAGAACGCGGCTGTGATCCCAGGCACTGAGCGTCTGCTGGTGTTACAGGCTGAGCTGTGTCTCCCAGATTCATATGATGCAGAGCTAACCCCCCACCCCCGTTTGTCGGAGAGGGATGGTGCTCGGAGACAAGGTCTTAACAGAGATAATTAAGACAGAGTTATTGGGGGCGGGGGGACGGCTAATCCAGTATGACTGGTGTCCTCGTGAGGAGAGGAGATCAGGACACAGACGCACGAAGAAAGACCCCACGAGGACACAGCGGGAAGACGGCCGCCAGCCGGCCAAGGAGAGAGGCCTCAGGAGAAGCCAGGCCTGCAGACTCCCTGGATCTCGGGCTCCCGGCCTCCAGAACAGTGAGACGATACATTTCCGTTGTTTAAGCTCAGTCCGTGGTACTCGCTTCTGCAGCCCTGGTGAGGGGTCCCAGCTGTGCTAAGGACAGGCCAGAGAGAGCTGGCTGGACAAGGTCAGGCCTCGGGCTGGCCCTCCGGGCCCCCAGGGACCCTTCTTTGTCCCCAGAGCTGCAACAATGCGGTCCTTCATGGAGCAGGAGACCCTGCCCCACCTCTCCTGGTCTGGAGTCTCCCTCCCCTCAAGGAATTCCCTGGAACAACGGGCAGGGCATCCAAAGCGGCTGCCCACCCCACCCGTACTGGCCGGGCCTGAAGGGGATCCGCTTAGCACTGAGGACGCAGCCCAAAGCGGGACCCAGCCCCGGACACCTCGCCGTCCCCGAGAATCTGGGGGCCAAAGCAGTGGACACGGGTCCTCCTCCGACCCCAGGAGCTCCCTGGCCTTGCGGTGGGACAGCACGGGGCGGGGGCGGGGGCGGGGGAGGGTGGCGGGAGGATGCATGTGATCATGCTGGAAAACATCCACAGTTCCGCTGCCCTTGGCGACGCCTCCGCACATTACACAGCCCACCAAGTATGAGCCGCACACGCAGCGCACGGGCCAAGTCCCTGCAGCACATATACAGCTGAAAATATTCAAAATACACACTGAAACGGTGACCTCAGGCAGACCTCCGCACGCCCAGGAGCGCACCAGGCACAGCCCAGCGCCAGGCCCGCCGGCCCTGCTGGCCGGGAGCCCGGAAAGACTGGGGTCTCCCAGCCCCCCCCCCACCCGCCCCCGCCGAGGCACTGCCCCACTGGGACGCCAGGCACAGCAGCCATGGGCAGCCCTGCCCGCCCAAGGACCTCGGTCCCTGAGGCTGTGCCCCTGACGCCCACATGACACTCACTCCCGGCCAATTAGCCTCAGCCCTCAGGACGCCTAAGCCCCCGCCGTCTGTGCACCGATGTCCTCAACTGACCTCAACGAGGACAGGATGGGGGGGATCCGGTGAGGATCCCTCATCGTGCAGTCAGGAACGAGAGAGATGGGATTAGCCCCGGAAAGGCAGACGGTGAGATCAGTCTGGGACGCTAAGAGGCGTGCTGGGACCAGCCGGCAGGAAGAGGGACCGAGCCGCAAAGCCACAGTGGTCCTTCTCGGAGGCAGATGCTGGCTGGGAGGGGGAGCCTGGCCCCCACGCTGCTGGTGCCTCGGGCCCCTCTGTAAGCGATGCGCGGCCGCATCCCTGGGTCCACACCGCCAACGCCCTCCCTTACTCTGGGAGCTACACCCACAGAATGCGGGCTGAGGCTGGGCAACAGTTGCTAGTAAGCTGCTGTGCTCGTCGCTTGGAGCCCTGCTCTCTGCGCAGACAAAAGCAGGCATCGGGGTGTGGGACCCGGAGCCCGCGAGGCGGGATGGGTGAGGGCGGCTCTGGAAAGCCCAACCGAGCTGGGGCACCCGCGGGCTGCAGAGTGGAACAGATGCCCATGGAAAAGCAAGGAGAGAGCTCACAGGCTCCGGGGAGCCGGGAGCTGGCCCCCCACGCCCCGGGCCTACAGGCCGGGCTGCACTTTGTCTCCCGGCCTTGGAGTCCCGGAATGCCCCACGTCTGCAGCCAGCAGCCGAACTCCGCGAGCAAGGCTGCGAGCAAGGCGGGGCCGCGGCCACCCCATGAGCAATGCCGGGGCTCACAGGAAGGACCTAGTAGCCACCGGGGCCGGGCTGTGATGACTGACTTCTTTTCTAATTCAAGCCTGTTGCTGGGCGGGCAGGGGCACGCACCTCCCCATCCCGTGACTCCAAGGGGCGAGAGGGGGACTGGGGGCCAGGCCCGGGCCCCTTGGCTGGAGTCAGCAGTAACAGCCGTGGCCAGAGTCGAGCTGGTCTGGCCAAGGGGCGGGGGGCCAGCCCTGGGGGTCCTCTCGGCTGGGTGGGGGCATCCAGGCCATGGTGCTGGCTGTCCACGTGTCCTTCTATAGGAGCAGACCTCGGCCGTCCTTCCCAGAGCTCCCCGACTTCCGCAGGGTCCCAACGCGAGGAGATTCTCAGGCCACCAGAAGCAATCTACGAAGTAGGACGCTCCAGGTCCTGTGCTTGGGTTCCTCCAAAGGGGGCCCCGCTGCCCTAGGGCAGGCAGCCTTGTTCGTCATCCCAAGCCTCGCTCCCTGGCTCCAGTCCTGGCCCAGGAGACTCACAGCCTGTCAGCTCTGGACCCTCGGAGGACCCGTCCTCCCGGCATAGCAGGAAGTAGCTCCAAGCTGACTTATGTCCCTGCTTGCAGGTTTGGGGGACCTCCTGCTGGCATCAAAGCTCCCTCCCGGCCTGGGCCAGGTTCTAGGAAAGCTCTTTCCTCAGCACAGGGCATATAGTAGTTGCTCATTCATCTGCTGGGGGAAGGGCTCTGGGGGAGGGCTCCAGGGGATGGGGCTTTGGTGGAGGGCTCTGGGGGATGGGGCTTGGGGGGAGGGGCTCTGGTGGAGGGCTCTGGGGATGGGG